ACCGTCGTTTTGATTGGTGAATACTTTCTTCGGGTTTATTACAACGACATCAACAACTAACAAGGATAGTACCGTAGTTTGGGTTCACTAGATGGTTGATTTTGTAATTGAATTCCTTGGCGGGGTCTGGTGCTAATCAGCATTTATAGAACTACTGGCAAGTTCCTGTCGGTGTGGCAGACAGCAGTTGCTGATTCATTTGAACGCTGACGCACAGATTCATTATCTGCACGCCGCACACATACTTTAGGGACCGGGCGTTAAATTAGAACCTTTTTTCTAACATTTACCTCAAAGGGACAATCAGACTGTCATCCTTTTCGTTTCCTGCTGGACTTTTGAACTTGGACACGTAAGCGGTGTGAGTAGTTCATTATTTTTCCACTTTCCTAGAAAAGTATTTTAACAAACCGACTGAATTAGAAGACACTACAGCAAAATAAACATATGTGCTATCATCAATATCCAGGAGTTATGCCTGTAGGCAGTCTTAAAGAAATGCGATTCACTGTGTTTGACGCCTGTTTCGTGTGCCCTCATCGATTTTTTTGCAAATGACCGTACTTCGAATTTAACAAGGCCAAATAAGTGCAGCATATTAAAGGATCGCTGGCAGAGAACACACTATTATTAAACTGATATAACGTTTGCTAGTAGCACGCAAACACTTCTCGTTGACTTTGATCAACCAGACACGTTTTTCTCGAATGTATGTACCTAACCGTGATGCGAAGAGATGAACAACAAATTCCGAGAACCTTATGTGATACCGACACCCGAATGATTTTCTATAGGTATTTGATTAAGTCCCACTCCGCGTAAACTATCGGTCATTACTTTAACGTCACATGTTGAACGTCCTGAGTTATGCCGATATCGTAAAAAGTCTACTTTTACTCATCGGCAGTGATCAATATTACTTTTAAAAGTTTGATGAACTTCTCGGAATCGTGTTATTAGATGTACATAATGTGGGCTTACTCATGAAATGTCGACCAAAAATTGGAAATGCGTATTCGTTTAGAAAAAATGCACTAAGTATGGTTGCAGCAATAATCATATTCCAGCATAATTCTTTAATGATCCGGTTAACGGAGGGTGTCTTCTTTCGAATGAACGTATTTTCGACTGCATGCAAAAACGATGCTTTGCAAAAAAAAATATTTAAGTAGCATGCAATTTTCACATTGATTTTCGATGCCCTTAAAAATTCAATTACATTTTATGAAAAACATGCATTAAAGTATTCATTCTTTACTTATTCGGTCGAAATCCACAACATCTCTCCATTTTATACTCAAAGGAGGTGTATAATTCGATTCTGAAAACCCATTCTAGTGCCCGAATTATTCTGAACCAGACCTGCTGTTATATTTGAATTCAGGTTTTATAAACTACAAGCCACGTATTTTCCGCGTAGAAAAACCACACATTTCTCTACGGTATTAAGAGGAGATCATATAAGATCAACGCAATTTGGCAGTGGATTTGAGTAATATTGTTAACTTTACAAACCACATTGGTAAATGCAGATACGTGACGTTTTATAAATGGCCATTTCACGGTATTAAAAAAAATCTTAAAATCAGACACTTTTTCGAAACCTAATCATTCTGGTTCTTCGAGAATTCAATGGAAAGATGATGTGATTTTCGGCAGAATAAGTAAAGAATGAGTATTTTAATGCATGTTTTCCATAAAATGTAGTTGAATTTTTAAGGGATTAGAAAATCAATGTGAAAATTGCATGCTACTTAAGTATTCGTTTTTTGCAAAGCATCGTTCTTGCATGCAGTCGAAAATACGTTCATTCGAAAGAAGACACCCTCCGTTAACCGGATCATTAAGGAATTATGCTGGAATATGATTATTGCTACAACCATACTTAGTGCATTTTTTCTAAACGAATGCACATTTCAAAATTTTGGTCGACATTTCATGAGTTAGCCCACCTTATGTACATATCCAGTGTATTTCGACCGATTTTTCAAAAACATATTTAGTTTTTGGTTGCGAATACTTCTGCACAGTATGAGTATTTCTAGCTTTCCTTGCAAATGTTGCGTTCATCTTCACAAATTTTCGGCTGATCATTTATGAAAGCCTTTCAATTACAAGACACGCTGATCACACTCTTGACGCTTCAGACGATAGTTGACGTGCATATTGGGTGTCTTTTAACGGTGAGATGTCTTCAAATTTGTCTGTATTACAGAACAGTGACGATCATATTGCCTATATAGGCGTCAAGGAATCTGCGCCTGAACATATTTTTGGCTATATACGCCTTTCATCCCTCGCAGCACGGAGACTTAAAAAACATGTAATGTGAAGGATCCAAGCACACAGTTCACCCCGTGGCGTTTACTTGATTACTATCTTAGATTAATGCGGGGTGATACGGGGAATAAAGCCGCAACTTCTCTGCTATCCAGCATAAACACACTTTTGTTTATAAGAACCGACTGTTATTTGAATGACAAGCAGAAAATAAATCAGGGATGATTTTTTGTTTTTTTGCTATAACAACTTCGAAGTACGCTTTTACACTTAGCGGTAGCAACTAAGCGTTGCTAGCTAAATTCGCTTAATAGAATCCCCGTAGATGACTTTTTATTATCTGTGCGCACCCATTTAGCACGTTATACATTAGTATTTTCTTAATGCATGCGTTTTTGCACCCGTTAAATGACGTCCACATAATGTATTATCTTTATACCATGCGGCTAAGCCTTAATTGCACTACCCAAGTGCTTTGGAAACTCCACTGCCTTTGTTGCCACTCCATGCGTATTTCAGTGTTCTCTATCCTTCTTATCCATTGGCGCTCTAAGGGCACAGACATGATTATCTAAGTATGCCCACGATGGGCCAACAATACTGGTCACCTGAGAATACTGATGAGTATTGCGGGTTCACTGTCCTGTGTGTTCTTTGACAATATTTTACCAGTTAGAAGCAGTAAACTGGCTTTTTATGCTTTTGTAAATTGAGGTATACATGTTTCAAAAGATTTACGGTTATTTTCTTGGGAGGTTTATATTTATTAAATAAAGTTCTATTCCTGCTTTAAATAGGGCGGGAAAAACATCACTACTATCATATTATAAAGTCCATAAAATTCTTGTTGTTTCTGTAAACAGGTCTAGTTTTTTTGCTGAATGCCTTTTCGTTATGTAGCAAGTAAATTTCCGAAACACCAAAACAAGTAGTTTCGTCATTTAGATCAAAGCAAAGATCTCGCAATTTTACGCCAAAGGTGCTTAATCTGAACCAGTTGCCCACGCATATGTCACATTACCGTTATCAGGAGCACCATTCGTCGGCGATCACACAAGGTACATTCATTTGGAAGATAATGTTAAAGCCATCAAATACGGTAAAGGCATTGAAATTTGCAATTGCTAAACGCAAAAAAATTTCTTGCACTGAGCTTAGATTTCCTCCTTCTATACGCCGTTCCCAAAAGTGTGTGCAAACATGTATTTGTTGAAAGACCCCGCACATTACCCTATTCCGCCTTGCATCACACAGAATAGTTTGAGGGGGAAGGTGTACTAGAGGGATTATTCGGTTCTTTGCACTCTATGGCCTGACTCATCCACGTCATGCCCACGCCAAAGGAAATGGAACAGGTCAATGAGGCTTCATCCGGCTGGTCTTTAATATGCCGCCTAAGGCATTCGCATCGTTCGCTATGGAAACTTATGCCTAAACTCACGACACAGGAACATCAGCGATATCAAAAATAATCAGTAACGCATCAATGCCAGCGGATGATTTGACAGCCACAGGACTGTACCGCAGACATAAACGATGCAACTGCAGTTTAATTATAACTTCTGATCACGGAAACGTTAGCAGGCGTTAATAAACAGGCCAAAGCCAGTATGACCTCATACCTGACCTTTCAGGCGCAAAGTAACGTGCACATCAGATACTCTTTTGCAGTAAAATGTCGTTAACAAGTCTGAATTGCAGTATCCTGAAAGGTGATGTTCTCACGAACTAACGAGTTACCTCTCACGAGCCCGTAGCCTTAAAGGCTGCAAGTAAATCGAAGCAGTGAATAATATAGAGATTTTGAACGTTAAGAAAACTGACAACAGACCACGACAGAGGAGCACGCTAGCAACGCGGGTTGTATAGGTGTGCCGTTTCTCGTCACATTCAAGCAAGCAATCCGGTCATAGAAAATGGGACTAAGTTATCAAAGGCAAATTACTCAGTTACCTCACCACAGTACCCCCCTTCTAGACCGGAGGGCGACGGAATACGGCACCGGAGGATATGCACAAGTCTAGAAGAATTGCGTAACTAAACGATCGGGAAAATGGACATGACGGCCACTGCGGGTAATGTATGCAGGAGGTAGAGTCGAAAAGGGTTGACTGCGTGCTATGGTGGAGGATGATGTTGCAGTTGGATGCTGTAGACAAGTAGGGAGAGGAAGTATGCAGGACGGAGGGGAAGAGCAAGGCAGTGGACAGGATGAATGAGCAGGGGATAGGGAAGATGGGGGAACAGGTGTTAGGGGGTCAGCACATTTTTGTCCTTGTGACAGGTCCGGCGGCTCCTCTGCAACAGCAGCCTTGACCCGATCGACACTGACCTTGTTCTCCTTGTCACTGCGAAGAATCCGGAAGGTCTTGGCGTTGCGCGCGAGCACGCGGAACGGTCCTTCGTATGGTGATTCCAGCGGCTGGCGCACACGGTCACACCGGACGAACACATGAGTACAATTGTACAAGTCTTTTTCGACATAAGATTCAGTCATTGGATTTCGAGGTGGAACCGGAGAAAGCGAGCGCATAAATTGCCGAAAACGGTGCACAAGGTTGTCAGGATTCTCGTCGGCCCCACGAGAGGTTGGAGTTGATCATCTCGCCTGGCAGTCGGAGGGTAGTGCCGAAAACCATTTCAGCTGCGCTACAGCCGAGATCTGACTTCAGAGCTGCGCGGATGCCGAGGAGTGCAAGAGGAATGTTGTCCGACCAGTTTCATGGGTCTTCTACGGCACGCAAGGTAGTCTTTAGCTGGCGATGGAAACGTTCCACTATACCATTGGCAGCTGGGTGGTAGGCTGTCGTGTGAATGCGTGTGCAGCCAAGAAAATTTAGTAGCGTTTGGAAGAGTGCCGACTCAAACTGGGCATCACGATCGGTCGTAACCGTGGATGGGGCACCGAAGATGGCGACCCAACGACTGACGAAGGCCTTCACGATGGTTTCAGCCTGAACATTTGGCAAAGGAATAGCTTCAGCCCAGCGGGTGTATCGATCGACACAGGTAAGGAGGTAGGTGAAACCGTTGGATGGAGGCAAGGGGCCTAAAACATCCAGGTGCACATGACTAAACCGTGCGTCGGAACTGGGGAAAGTGTCAGGTGGGGACTTGTTGTGACGCCGCACCTTGTTGCGCTGGCAACTCAGACACGACCGAGCCCAAGCTTTGACGTCCTTGTTCATGCCAGGCCAGACAAACCTTTCGCAAGGAGCTTTTGCGAGGCACGGATCCCAGGGTGGGAGAGTCCATGCAGAGTTTGAAATACAGCTCAACGCATAGAGGAGGGCACGAAAGGGCGATGAAAGGGAGTTGAGACGTCACAAAGTGTGGTACCAGAGCCGGTGGTCGGAGGAACGTCTTTGAGTAGGAGACCACTAACAGACTCGTCACAAGGACAACTGACTCGCTGTTGCTCAGCCACCATGGCACAAAGCTCGATCCCGTGTGTGAGTTGGAGGGAAGACAGTGAGGGCCTGGACAGCATATCAGCCACCTCATTCTTCGTGCCACCAATGTGGCGGATGTCGGTGGTGAATTGGGAGATGTAGTCCAGGTGAGCGATTTCCCTCGGATTGTACTTGTCGGAGTGGGAACAAAGTGCAAAAGTCATCGGTTTGTGGTCAGTAAAAACAGTGAAGTCACAACCTTCAAGGAAATGCCGGAAATGCTTCACGGCCAGGTAAATGACAAGTAGTTCACGGCCAAAGGTACTGTAGCGTGTCTCAGCTGGTAAGAGCTTTTTGGAGAAAAAGGCAAGTGGTTTAGTCGAACCAGCAAGGTGTTTTTTTGAAGGACTGCACCTACGGCTACGGTCGAAGCATCTACCATCAGAGACAGCTGAGCTTTGGGAGCGGGATGAGTGAGAAAGGTGGCATCGGCAAGGGAATTCTTGATTCTCTCAAAGGCAGTCAGTGTTTCGCCAGTCAGCTCGAGGGGACCTTAGGGACTAGAAAGCATGTTGGTGAGCGGCAGCATGAGGTCAGCAGAGTTCGGTACGAACCGTCGGTAAAAACTGACCATGCCGAGGAATCGCTGTAACTGACGCTTGGAAGTTGGAGGAGGAAAATTACGAACTGCTTCAACCTTGGAGGGGAGAGGACGCAAGCCTTCAGAGTCGACCTGATGGCCGAGGAACTCGAGTGAAGGCACACCCAACACGCACTTGGAGGAGTTGATGACAACGCCAAACTTGTCAAGGCGGTCAAACACTAAGGCAAGGCGCTCTTTGTTTTCTTCTTCATTCCGGCTGGCCACCAAGAGGTCATCAATGTAGGCGTACACAAAGGGTAGGCCACGTAAGACATGGTCGATGAACCTCTGGAACGTTTGGGCGGCATTACGAAGACCGAATGGCATGCGGAAGAACTCAAAGAGACCGAAGGGTGTGGTGACGGCGGTTTTAGGGATGTTCTCAGGGGCGACTGGAACCTGATGAAAAGCACGCACCAGATCAATCTTCGAGAAAACCGCTTTGCGGAAAAGGGCTACAGCAAAGTCCTGAAAATGAGCCACGGGGTACCGATCAGGAGTGGTAGCGCTGTTGAGGGCTGGATAGTCGCCACAGGGTCGCCAGTCGCCTGATGTTGCTTTGGGCACGAAGGGCTCTCGGACGGCCGAATTATTCCCAGTTGTAGCATGTGTTCAAACTCAGCCTTCGCGGCCTGAAAACGCTCCGGTGCTAGTCGTCTCGGTCGAGCAAACACGGGAGGACCTGAGGTGCGGATATGGTGCACAACATCATGTTGAATCGCACCACTGCGAAACTGGGGGTTACTTATTTTGGGGTCACTAAGAAGCAGTTGTCGAAAAGGACTAGCAACATCCGTATCCAAAACAGATAAGTTGGTGGGGACAGTAAAGGGAGTTAGTCCACGAACAAACAGACCAGTTGTGCGATCGAGGAGACGGGCACCCTGACAGTCAACAAGGAGATCAAACTTGGCATGAAAGTCCGAGCCGAGGATTGCGTGAGGGACGTCAGCAATCACAAAGATCCAAGTAAATGACCGACGATGGCCAATGTTCAGGGTGAGGGACAGACTGCCAAAAGTGGAAATGGGGGAACAGTTAGCAGCTTGGAGGTGAAGACCAGGACTAGGGAAACGACGATCAGTTGCAGTTGGGGTAACAACACTGATTTGGGCTCCAGTGTACACCAGAAAACGTCTGCGAGTCGCAGTGTCGCAAACATAGAAGGTGCGACCAGAGCCGGAAGAGCCAGAGAAAACGGTCGCATCTATTCTCTGGCCGACTGGTTTCCCTGTTTCGGCCTAAAAGAGCAGGGTGAGTAACAGCGACGGGCCTTTACGCCGAAATTACTGTGATACCAGCAGGTATCGGCAGTCCATGGCCGCGAACGAGAACGACGACTGCGTGAGCGACTGGAAGTTAGGCGGGCGAGCTGTATTTTAAGGAGGCCATCTCATCCTCCATGGCCGACACCTGTTTCACTAGATTTTCATTCACTGACGATGAAGATGAGGAGATCTGGGCAACGGAAGCTGACTGGAATCGCTGCACCTCTATCATTCGATCATCTATCTCAGCCAGCTGTGAGACCGTAAGGTCTTGAGAGCCGGAAGCCAGGATCGTTTGAACATCTGCGGGCAGACGCTCTAGGAACATCTCCTTGACAAATTTATCGTCAACTTGCATGTCTTCAAGGAGAGATCGCATTCGACGTAGAAGCTCTGATGGCTTCCGGTCACCCAGTGACTCCTCCTTAAGTAACTAGTGATACCCCCTTCGGTCAGACACAGAATTAAGTCGGAGGATTTCCGCATTCAACGCGGAGTAAGGAGCATCTGCAGGATCATTAGCTAGCAAGGACTGAACTTGAGAGATGACACTAGCGGGGAGGACCTCTACAAGTTTGTAGTATTTTACTAGTTCCTTGGTAACGTTGGCAGTATAAAAGGCTGATTCCATGCGGATGAAGTAAAGTTTCGGAGCGTATTGCCAGAATTCAGGCAAGGTAAAATTGGTTTCACGAAGGGACTGGGTGGGGGCATCAAGTTGTTGATTGGAGTGAGACATAATAAGACAGAGTTGGCAAAATATCAGAATTCGTGAGGAAAGTAAATGTAAATGGAATAGATCTTCACAAGCAAATAGTACGTTAAATGTTATCTAGTATGACAGAAAGGTATAAAGTCTGCGTTAACGTCGGGAGTCACCAATATCGTAAAAGGTAATGTTCTCACAAACTAACTAGTTATATTTCACGAGCCCGTAGCCTTAAAGGCAGCAAGTAAATCGGATCAGTGAATAATATAGAGATTTTGAACGTTAAGAAAACTGACAACAGACCACGACAGAGGAGCACGCTAGCAACGCGGGTTGTATAGGTGTGTCGTTTCTCGTCACATTCAAACAAGCAATCCGGTCAAAGAAAATGGGACTATGTTGTCAAAGGTAAATTAGTCAGGTACCTCACCACAACAGAACGTCGGGCATCATAGTGCCCAAAGCTATGCTTAAGTACTCCTTCTTAAATCATTTCTGGTAACTGACGTTTTTTTTATTTGTCACAGCAGGATGAATTAAGGAAAAGCTCAAGTTTAGCATCCAAACATTCAGCTTTAAACTGTCGAGTATTGTAACGTTAAATTAATCGCAGTCTCTGATGAACTTTATTCTAAAAATCTTGCAAAATAATTTAAGATCGGATGAGGAATATCACATAAGTCTATATCTTCCCTGAGTTCGATGTTGTCCGAATTAATATATACCGCCTCGAATAGACAGTAAAATAGTGTACTTGAGGGCATCCTCTGCCGTAAATACTCCTGCATGTATGTTGAGCGCACAGGTTTACACATTTGGACCCGGTGGAACGATTACCAGCCAGTTGTCGTCCGTATATTGACGTCAATTCATCTAGAACCTCAATAAATCACCACACTCCAGTTCAATAACGCGAGACGCAACGCACCTACTGCATCCGACAAATTTTGTAACGTTATGCTCACCCATATCATGGCCATACACTCCCTTTATGCCATCTGTCTCTCACAAAAACTATGATGTGATAGTCCTATCATTTGACTATTCTTTTTTATGACGGCGGAGTGGTTTTCCATTCCCAAAGTTCACCAAACAACATACTCGTTTTCAGTAGGCCGACTTAGAACGCATGGTATCACAATTCAGCGTCATATGTTTGATTCCGAAGATCCCCTTTCCTTCTCGTATGTACACAAACGGGCCACGCAGTAGATACGCTGAACTGAAACAGGGGCCACAGTGGATTCTGACAAGCATTATCGGGATGCGCATCATAAAAATAGCAACATCAGGAGATGGGGTGACAGGCCCAGTTGCCGGCAGGTGTAGCACATACTGAGACCCCTGCAGCACCCAAATTTTTGTTGGTTAAACTTCGTGGGATGATGAATACGAAGTCTCTCCGTGGCGGACCGCTGGGGCGCTGGTGTGAGCTCTGCTCCCTGCCCGGCCGTTGTTGTCGCTGCTAGCTAAGCAAATCGCCCGCCAGCAAGCAGGTCAGAGTTCGTTTATCAGGCATGCCTAAAACACGAGACAGGCGAAGAGACAGAACAACTCTAAGCTAGCAGGAACAAACACCCTACCACTACTCTGATGATGGAATCGAGGAAGATTCCGAACCGTCAGCAACAATACAGTGTGTTCCATGGCATCGCCTCTTTTTCTTCTTCGTCTTCTTTTGGGGATGATGAACGGGATATATATATATATATCCCACATCCAGAGATGGTGGTATTTTTATGATGCGCATCCGGATAATGCTTGTCAGAATCTACTGTGGCTCCTGTTTCAGTTCAACGTATCTACTGCGTAGCCCGTTTGTGTACATACTAGAAGGAAAGGGGATCTTCGGAATCAAATATATGACGCTGAATTGTGATACCATGCGTTCTAAGTCGGCCTACTGAAAACGAGTATGTTGTTTGGTGAACTTTAGGGATGGAAAACCGCTCCGCCGTCATAAAAAGGAATAGTCAAGTTATAGGATTATCACATCATAGTTTTTGTGAGAGACAGATGGCATAAAGGGAGTGTATGGCCATGATATGGGTGAGCATAACGTTACAAAATATTCGGATGAGGCGGGTATCGTTGTTTTCCGCCTTACTGGACTGAAGTATGGTGATTCGGTGAGGTTCTAAATAAACTGACATCGTTTGTTGTTGTTAATTAGGGGTCACCATACAGACGACAGTTAGCTGGTAATCGTCCCTCCGGGTCCAAATGCGTAAACCTGTGCGACCAACATAAAGCAGGGGTATTTAGAGCAGGGGATGCTCTCAACTACCCTATTTGACAGCCTATTCGCGGAGGTATCCATTAAGTCAGACAACATCACTTTCAGGGAGGATGCTGACTTATGTGAGACATAGAAACTAGACGGTCACTTTAACGGTGCTCTGCAGGTGGGTATGGAAGACTTGCTTACGTATCGCTGCTCAGGGTTAAGCATTAGCTGCTTTCGCTGAAGATACACACACCACAGTTTCTGCGAGATAAACATAGCACAACCAGAGTAACTGTCAGTAGAAGGGATTGACGATGCTTTACGAAATTTATCGTATACGGAAGGTATAGTTCCGGATCTCAGCATTGAAGGCGAAGATGTTACTGGACTGAAATCCCAGTTTGCTAGATATCTATGAACCCTAGTTGATTAGTAGGGAGCGCGGATGATTGGTTAATCGGTTAGTCCTTTTTAGTGAGCGTCAACTTTAAATAACAGCTGATATGGTCTAAGTTCGTGTCATCGGCACTTAGAGTGTTCGGTGGCGTAGGAAACAAACATTGTCTGGGTCTCTAAATCCACGAATTCGAGGTCACACTTTTTTGAATTTTCATTAATGACATCAATTGTTTGATGTCAGAACTAGTATTGATAAGATGTGGTTATGCAGCCTCGCCTGAGGTACACAATACTGTAGTTGTTGGGGTTAGGGTTAAGAGCTAAAGTCAGAACTTAGGGATTGTGCTTGTCCCTGTGGGCTCCAGTGTTTCTGTCTTCACGGCCAACGTACACGTAAGAATATGTAGCGCAGCAAATGAGTTTTCCTGTGTCATTTCGCCTTTTTATGGACGAGACTAACTTGCGTACAATATAGAAATCAGACCGGATTTATTTTACGGGTTGCCATTCCAATGGCTCTCCGCAGGCGAGTAGTGGAGAGGCAGTTACCTCGGACTTCTGTTGCATTTGAGCGTTGTTATTGTTGTTGTCTTAGACGTGTAGGCTAGTTTATCACAGGACTAGTAGCGTCTTTTAGCGCTGACCTCTGAGCAAGTTGAGTCGTGCCATCTAACGCCTGCTAAAGTTCTGTAAGTCAGGTCGCGTCTGTCTACTTTTGCCTCAAACAAGCGCCAATCATTTTTGCCACCTCCACTCTCTAGCAGTTAATTCTGATCATCCTTACGCAAAATTCACATGGTGACCTATACAGTTGGTTTTAAGAAGAATTCCACACTCTGTTTCAATTCTGGCTTCCAAGGTCTGGAAGGGGGACTGAGAGGCAGTTGTGGTTATGGCCTTTCTAACATCTACACGCCGGTTGCGAGTCCTTTCCGTAGTCGGGGCCTTTTCGCTAATTTGCTGGTTCCTCAACAGCTGGCAAATGACGTCAAAAGCGCGAGATCAGACTACGTTCACTCTCCAGAACACTGCCCACGTTACCCAACCGATGTTCTCTCATAACTGTCCGGCCGAAAGCCTTAGACTGTGTCGCTATGGTGGCCACGATAAGCAGAAAGTGATAGACGCCGACCTGCGGTCTTGCCGATCTGAACAACACCTTTTCACAGCCGCTGGCAACGCCAGTTTAAGTGATAGATGTCTATCTTTCAAGGATTTGGCTACCGTGCCAGACGTTCAGTGGACGAGGGCTCGACTTCCTGAGGCCTACAGGACCTATCCAATGGATCTGGACCTCAAAATAGTCGTGATGGCATATTCCTATGGCCTAGTACTAAACGTGGTAAGTCCTATCTGAAAATATTTTCTGCTGTTCACATTGGCGAGAAAGTTTTGGTTCATTGTCCTACTCCGTTTATAATGTTTTTGGAAGGACCTAAGGACTGCATGAAAAGGCCATATTATATGTGCAAATCGGTCATTCAGGAATCGGCAATCCGCCATAATGCACCATTAATTGGGTATTAGAAATCTAATTTCTTAATATAGCAAGTGTCATCTCAACCGCCATAGGGAGTGACCAGTCAGGGAATGTTCCTTGTAGGAATTACACGTCGTACCACGAGCACAATATGGGTGGCAATTATTTCACACGATCCTTAACTGACACTCAGCTATCATCCGCGCCCTTGAGAGAGAGAGAGTTCATAGTTGTGTTTTTAGTCCTACACGATGGTTAGAAATATGGCTAGATGAGTCAATATAGAATATGCTTAAAGCTACTCTCTATCCTTCTACCACCCTTCTGGCAGTACGCAGCTTTTGCGAGTCAGGGCTAGCGGGTGGTTAGCCACTAATGAGCACTGTCATCTATTCGGAGGTCGCTTGCATCGCGAACGAACAAGATCGATCTATTATCGCAACAGCGAATGCCATAGCGGAACCCTATACACTACGATGTTATGGCCAGGTCCCGGATAGGAAGAGAGAGAAGAGAGGAGATTTATTCATTACAGAGTAAGGGAGCAAAGCTGGCAGCCGCACGAAGATGCGTCCGGCGCCGCGAAGGTAGCGTCTTCCAGAGAGGCGTTGCTGGTGTCGCCGTAAGTCGCCGCCGCAAAAGTGTTGGGACAGGTTGTTTTCGCAACCG